GGGGGGGGGGGCGGGCAACGCGCCGCACCCGCACCATGGAAACCCGGGAAGGGGGCCAGGGCTGGCGACGCCGCTCGATCGCCGGGCCGGCCCGACGCCCGCCCAACACCCTGCCCGTGTTTTCCCGGCCTCGCGCCCCCCCTCCCCCGCCCCCGGTCGCGCTTGTCGGCCGGCGCTCGCCGGCGCCGGGGGGGGGCGCCCGCCGGCGCAAGGCAGGGTGCCGGGGGCCCAGCCCGAGCAGGGGATTGCATAATCAATTTTGGCCGGAAATCCCGGGTTGCAGGCACACCAGACATGGTCGGGCTTTCGCACGTTCTTCCACCGCCGGCCGCGTCGGGGCCCCTGGCGCCGGAAGCACCCTCCCGGCCCGCGGCTCGGGAGGGGCGCCGCGCGGGGGGGCCGCACGTGCGCGCGCCCAACAGAGACACCCACACCAGGCCCGGGCCGCCAGCCACGACGGCCGGCAACGCGGGCAGACCACGTAGCCGGGCATGCCGCCGGAGGCCGCGCTGGCGGTCCAACCTTGCCGGGGCCCCGGCGCGAGCAGCTGATTTTGCTTTTTCGTCCATCCCGCGCCCCGATGCCCACCTGGAATAGGGCGGACGCGCCGCACATGCCATCTGCGGGGCTCCGGGCGGCCGCAGGCAGACGAGTCTCATGCGTGCGGAGCACAGACCGAGACATATAGGAATAAAAATAGTCCCGCTCGCAGCCCGGCCAGGCCCCGGCCGGCCGGGGGGGGGGGGGGGGGGGGCGGCACACACACGCACACACACACACACACACACGCGTTGGCACCGGCCAGCAGGGTGCCCACAGCGCTCCGCAACCAGGCCCGGCCGCGCGGGCCCCCATGCTCCTGGCGCGGGCGGCAGCCCGGCGCAGGCACGCACAGCCTGGCCGGCAGGGGCCCCGCGCAAAATGCAACCACAGGGCCCAGGGGGGGGCGGGGGAGGGGACACCCTTGCGCCTGGCGGGCTGCGCGCGCCGTGGACGCGGCCTAGGGCCTTGGCCGGCGCGCCGGCGCGTGCCCGCCCCGGACGCCCGCGCAAAATGCCCCCCCCCCCCCCGGCCCGGCCATCATCCTTGTAAGAGAATGCCTGTCCTCCTCGTCCCCCCCGAAGCGTGCGCATTCGCTTCCTTTTCCGGCTCCTTGGCGCCGGCCCCCCCCCCCCGCCGCGGCCCGGGACTCGTCCGGCCGGACGAGTCTCGAATGTTCCCCTCTCGACGGGGGGCGCGGGGCGGGGGGGGCTCGCGGGCGCGCGCAGGCCGGCGTCTCGCGCTCCTGCCCGCCCTCCCCTCTCCCGGCCGCGGGCGCTGTTCCGCACAGAAGCCGGCCCCTGGCGCACGACGCACCAGACGAAATCGGCGCGCGCGCCTTCTGGCTTGTCGCCGGGGCCCGGGGGGGGGGGGGCAGGCGCGTCCCCGGACCGCGCCCCGTTGAGCAGAGTCGACGTGTGCGCGGCGCCCCGCGCCGGTCCAGGAACCGGCGAGTGGCAGGGTTGTGTACTGCTGTTGCCCCCTCTCCCCCCCCTCCGACGGTGGCGCCTGTCCCCTCCTCGGGGACCCTGCCAAGGGCGCGGCACGTGCCCCTCTCGCCCGAGATCACGCCCGTGTGCGTGACACCACGAGCGGAATGTCCGGCTCTCGATCTGCGTCCCCTCGCGCGCTGGCCGGGAGAAGGCGGGCCCGCCGTCACAAGGGGCAGCGGCTCCCCCCTTCGGGACGGTGAGGAGGGGGGGGGACAAAAGCACGCGCCCACCTGCCTCTCCTCCTGTGCCTCCTCCCCTTTTCCGCCTCTTCCCCGCACCTGCGCTCGTCTCTGCCCCGCGGAGTGCCGCCGCCCGACATCCCCCCCCCCCCCCCCCCCCTACTACTACTACCACCACCACCACCACCACCACCACCATCTGACGGCACGATGAGCCTCACCGCGGCCACGCCGCCCCACCCGGCCATCGTCTTCCAGACGGCCGTCGATCCGGCGGACACGCTGCGGCTGCAGGCGACGCTCACCTGCCTGCGCGACCGGTGCCTGCTGAACATCGGCCCCCGGGGGTCGACCGGCGGAGCCCCGCCGCAGGTGGTCCTGCTGGTGTCGCGCACCGGCGACGCCGGGGCCGGCGCCTCTCGGCACCGTGGCCCGCTCGATGCCGTCCGGCCGGCCGGCGCGGACGCCCAGCAGGACGACCCCATGGCGGCCTCCGGCACGTACGATGTGCTGCTGCTTCTCGGGCGCCGGGGGCACCCGGGGTTCCTGGGGCCCGGGGCGGGCCGCGACCAGGCCGCCACCCTGACCATGACGTACGATGAGCTGACTCAGCTGGTGGCCCGGCAGGCCGCGCAGTATGTGGCCGACAGCCTGGCGGCCCGGCACTCGGCCGTCTCGCCGCCGGCCCTGTCCCGCCTGCTGGTCAGCCTCAACCTGGGGGACATCCTGAGCCAGTATGACCCGCAGCCGGGCGACTCCGAGGAGAGGGTCACCTCGCTGGAGATGGCGGCCGTGTCGTCTGTCATCGACTCGGTGCGCCGGTCGCTCGAGTCCCTGGCCGTGGTCTAGGGCGGCCGGGCGTGCGCACTCCTGTATATGTAAGGCGCCGGAATACAGCAACTCTCTGACAAGGGAAGGGCCATGGATGTGTGTGTGTGTGTGTGTGTCTCTGTGTATGCGTGTGTATGCGTGTGTATGCGTGTGTATGCGTGTGTATGCGTGTGTGTGGTACATGGTGGCAGTAGGAGCAACTGGGAGGACACGAGAGCAACGGCGGAGGATAGGGTCCTGCTCGTGGAAGCTGGCGGCTGGTGTGGGGCGCCGGCCGAAAGGAGTCCCGTTCGTTTGGCTGTGTGTGCGTATGTGTATACATATATATGTACGTGTGTGTGTGTAAGAGAGAGAGAGAGAGAGAGAGAGAGAAAGAGGGCGGAATCCCAGCACAGCCACCCACCCACACACGCGCAAAGGAAAGAAGCACGACAGAGCACAAAACAAAAAGGCAGAAGAAAGAGGGAGGATGAATGTGTATTGAATATGCACACACCCCGGCTGAGGGGGAGGAGACGGGGGGGGGGGATGCCGCGCACCAGTGCGCGCCATTCCCCCACACAGCAGGCATGCGCATATATATCCTGGCGAAACTGATTCACCGTGATATGGCGCGCGCGCGCGCGCGGGGGGAAGGAAGACGCAGGTGGTGTGGACGGATCCCCCCCCCCCGGACCCTCTTCCAGAAGGAGGAGGAGGAGTGGGGCCAGAACAAAGACAAGGGGGCGCGCCGCTTAGTTGCCGGCGAACAGCTCGCGCATGGAGCGGATCTTGGCCTCGAGAGAGGAGTTCTTCTCGAGAAGCTGGTTGTTCTTCTCCTCGGCGGCCAGGCGGCGAGAGGAGTCGCTCTTGTTCTTCTCCTCCAGGGCGGCGACCTTGGCGCGCTCGGCACGCAGGGCGTCCATGAGGGAGTTGTCGGCGGCGTCGTTGGCCTTGGCCAGCTTGTCGGCCAGCGAGGCGTTCTCGGCCTGCAGGGCGACAATCTGCACGTCGAGGTCCTTGCGCTTGCTGACCTCCTCGTGGAGCTGGTCGTCGGCCTGGTCGATCTTGGCCTCGGCGGACTTGAGGGCCTGCTCGGCGGTGGCCTTGGCCTTGTTGGCCTCGGCCAGCTCGTTGCGCAGGTCCTCGATCTCGGCCTGGGCATTCTCCACCTGCTGGGCGGACACGGCGCGAGAGGTGAGAGCCTCCTCGATCTGGTCGTTGAGCTTCTTGCCGCGGGCCTCGGCCTCGGCCTTGGCAGCCTCGGCGGCCTCCAGACGCGAGGTAACCTGGCGGGTCTCGGTCTGGGCATCGCGCAGCTCCGACTCGAGCTGGCGCTTGGCCTTGTCGGCCTCGCGGAGCTGAGCCTGCAGGGCGTCCAGCTCGGCCTGGAGGGAGTCCTTCTCGGCGGAGGCGCTCTTGGCGTCCTTCTTGGCACGCTCAAGCTGAGCCGACAGGGCCTCGGCCTTGGCGGCGGCCTCGGCCAGGGCCTTAGCCTGCTTGGCACGCTCGGCCTCGGCCTCCTCGGCCTGGCGACGAGAGTCCAAATCGTGCTGGGACTTGAGCAGCTCCAGCTCGCGCTGGGACTGGGCCTTGGCCTCCTCGACGGCGGCGCGGGCCTTGGAATCGTCGTCCAGCTGGGCCTTGAGGGACTTGATGTCGGCCTGGGCCTTGCGGTTGGACTCGGCCAGGGTGTCGATCTCCTGCTCGTACTCGTCGGCCTGGGCCTCCATGTCCGAGACAATGGTGGCCAGCTTCTGGCGGCGCTCCTCGCTGTTCTTGTAGGAAGCAACAGCCTCGGCGTGGGCATTGCGAGCGGTGTCCAGATCGGTCTCCAGCTCGCGGTTGTCCTTCTCCAGCTCCGAGGCACGGGCAGCGGCCTCGCGGGCGGCGGCGGCCTCGCGCTCCAGCTGGGCCTCCAGCTCGGCAATGCGATCCTTCAGGGCCTTCTCCTGCTGGTCCTGGCGGTGGACACCAAGCAGCGGCTTGATGCTGCGGTACAGCTTCCACCAGCTCCACTGGTAGAGATCGATGAAGACACGGGCATTCTTCTGGATCAGCTGGATGGCCTCCTCCTTGCCGTGCTGACGACGGAAGGCACGACGAGCCAGGGCACCACGAGCGGCGGCCTGGAAGCCGGAAATCAGCTCGCTCAGGCGGGCATCACGGCGCTCCTCCAGCTCGGCCACAGTGCCGGCCTTGAAGAAGACCTTGGACTGACCGATGCGGTAGAACTCCTTCTCGATCTTGAGGGCGTCCAGGAGCTTCTGCGCAATGACACGGCCATCCATGAAGCCCTTGGGGATGATGCCCGGGGCCAGGAGCTCGTAGCGCTGCTTGAACTCGGCGAAGGGAATGCGGTTGGGGAAACCGAGGCGCACAATGCGGATACCCTCCAGGACACCATTGCACCGGAGCTGATCCAGCACCAGCGGAGCATCAATCATGCCGGGCTTCTTGGACTCGTTGGGGATGATGCAACGAACGAAGTGCGGCTGAGTGGCACGCAGGGTGCTGATCAGGGCATTGAGCGACTGCTTGTGGCGCTGGGACACGGTGATGAAGCTGCTGGCCTTGCCCTTGCGGTCGGTGACCAGGGTGCCATCATCATTGACCTGGAAGTCCTCGAAGATGGTGGCCAGCAGGGGGTTGGTGGACTTGGCGAACAGGGAGGCCACATTGTCGTTGATCGGGTCCTTGTTCTTCTCGATCCACTCGGCGGTGTTGTAGGACACCGAGCCGGCATAGTGGTCCAGGATGAACATGTCCGGGTTGAGACGCGGCTTGTGGTACTTGTCGTGCTTGTTCTCATGCTGCATGTGGCACTTCTCGATGAAGGTCTTGTCGGTGGACCGGGGCAGCAGGCACTCCTCGTCCAGGATGGACAGGATACCGAGCGGCTTCTCGATGAGATCGATGGTCGGCTGGAGATCCAGGCCGAAGTCGACGAACTTCCACTCGATGCCCTCGCGCATGTACTCCTCCTGCTCGAGGACGAACATGTGGTGGTTGAAGAACTGCTGGAGCTTCTCGTTGGTCAGGTTGATGCAGAGCTGCTCGAAGCTGTTGTGGTCGAAGATCTCGAAACCGGCGATATCCAGGCAGCCGATGAAGGTCTGCGCACGGCCGTGGGTCTCCAGGGTGGAGTTGATCTTGGAGATGATCCACTTGAAGAGGCGCTCGTAGACGGCCTTGACCAGGGCATTGGAGTTGTGCCCGGCGCGGTCGGTGGTCACCATCTGGGTGACCCACTCGCGGCCGGCCTTGACACGGGGCTTCAGCAGGCAGCGCTGGAAGTCGGCGGACTTGATGCCGAGCAGGTGCGACACGCGGTCGGCCGTGGCGGCATCCTTGAAGGAGGCGGTCTCATCACGACGAGACCCGACGAACTCCAGGTTGCCGAACTGCAGCAGACCGGACAGAATCTGCCAGATGGAGGTCTGCTCCTCCTCGGAGAAGCCGATGATGCGCATGGCGTCCAGGGTGTCGCGGAACTCCTTGGCATCGTCGACATTGTCGATGTTGGCCTCGCCCTCCAGGTAGCGGTAGGCGCGGACGCCCTCCAGCAGGAGGTCCTTCTTCTGCTCGGCGGTGGCACCGGCGATGAGCTGGTAGAAGATGTGGAAAGAGCGCTCGGCCTTGGCGTGGGTGATGACACGGTTCTTCTCCAGCAGGTAGTTGTCGATGTTGCAACCGACAATCTTGCCATCGGAGCCGAACTCGATGCGGATGAACTTGCCGAAGCGCGAGGAGTTGTTGTTGCGGATGGTCTTGGCGTTACCGAAGGCCTCGAGCAGCGGGTTGGTCAGGATGATCTGCTTCTCCAGCTGGCTCTGGTTGGTGCCCGAGGTGCCGGCCACGGAGGCCAGGTACTGGATGACCTTCTTGGTGTTCTCGGTCTTACCGGCACCGGACTCGCCGGTAATCAGGAGGGACTGGTTCTCCTTGTTGCCGAGCATGTCGCGGTAGGCCTCGTCACAGACGGCGAAGATGTGGGGGGGCATCTCCTTGCGCTTCTTGCCCTTGTACAGCTGGATGATCTCATCCGAGTAGATGGGCAGGTTGCGCCAGGGGTTGATCACCACCAGGAAAAGACCGGAGTAGGTGTAGATCAGGTCCGACATGTAGCGGTCGCGGAGGTTGTGCAGCACCGAAGACTCGTTCAGGTGGAGCAGGGTGGCCATGTCCTCGGACTTGTCGTACTTCGGCGGGTTCATGGGCTCCAGGTCGTCCTGGGAGACCTCGTACTCCTGTGATGGTGGGGGGGGGTGGGCGCGGGGCAGATGCGTGTGAGTGGGTGTCCTTTCTGCGTGGGAGGGGCGGGGGGGGGGGGGGGGGGGGGGGGGAAGGCCTCGGGGACATACCTTGCCGTCGTTGGCCTGGACGGTGATCTTGCCGCCGCCGTGGTCCTTGATGATGTGGACCGCGAGGGCGCCCTCGTTCTTGTCGATGAGCCAGGTCCACTTCTTCTTAGCGAACTCCTGCTGGCGGACCTCGAGGTCGGTGCTGACCGTCTGGTCGCGGAGAGAATTGTTGGAAGCCATGGTGGGGGGGGGGGGGAACGTCGACGCGAGTCGATGAAAAGTTTGACAGACTGCGGTGTGGGGGAGAGGGCAGGGGGGGGGGTGTCAGGGGGCCATGTAAGAATGCAGAAAGGCAAGCGTGTGCGTGCGTGTGTGTGTGTGCGTGCGTGCGGGAGGGGGGGGGAGGCGAGGCGGGAGGAGAAAGGAGGGGAGGGGAGGGCACATACCAAAACCGGAACTAACAGGTTACGGATACGCCCGACAAAGGTGCAGAGCCTTGGGGCAAGTGGCGAACCACTCGGCTCCCCTTAATAGCCAGGCGCGTTCCCCGGCCGCGCACACGTCTCCCCCCCGCCCCCTCCCCCCCCCCCCCAGGCCCCCCCGCCCCCCCGTCCCCTCCCCCCGCCGCGGGCGACGGCACAGGGCTGGGGTGGACGTGGGCTCGCGCGCGTGCCGGCGCGCAGACGTGGCCCCAGCCATTTGGCGCGCCCCCCCTCTCCTCGCCCGTCGTGACCCAGGCCCGTCCCCGCCCGGGCCCCGGGCCGCGGCCCGACGCGAACGACGTCCTCCCCCCTCCCTTCGCCCCTGGGGGCAAGGGCGGGGGAACCCCGGGCCCTGGCGGTGGGCCTGGCGCGCGGGCCCGAAAAAGGGCGTGTCCCCCCGCCCGCTCGCCCGCTCACTCACCGGGGCCCCGGGCGTCTGTCGTGGCCGCCCGTCCCTCTGCCGCCCCCCCCCCCCCGCTCGCGCCTCGAACAGCCCAGCTCGACGGCTCGTCCGACCGGGCTTTCGCGGCCGGCCCGCCAGCCCGCGCTGGCCCTGGCGACACTCTCATGCGTCCCCCCCCGCCCCCGCCCGTGTGTACGCGTCTCGAAGCACACACAGCCGGACACGATGTGTGCATATTATATGGGGGCCCACACCGTGTGTGTGTGTGTGTGTGTGTGCGTGCGTGTGTGTGTGTGGACAAGGCGCGCGGGCCCGCCTCTGCCCGGCCGCGCCGAAGCGGCGCCAAGAGGGCGCGCGAGGGGACAAACAACGCCCCCCAGCCCACGCAGACACACCCGCGGGTGGGGCAGACGCGCGGACGCCCGGGCGCGCGCTGTCATCCCCTTTTCCCCGGCAGGGAAGGAACACCGGCCCGGGTGTCACCGAGAGGGAGCCTCGGTGTGGTGGTCCCGGGCGAGGGGCCGCGAGCCCGCCGGCCCACACACACACACACACACACAGACAACTCTGTCCGTCTGTCAGGGCGGCGTCCGTCTGTTTGCCCGTCCGGCGCCTGCTCCCCGCGACACGGCCCCCCTCGCCCGCCGGCGGGCGCCTCGCCTGGGGCGGGCTTTTTAAAATACACAGCGCGCGTCCCCTCCCCCCCGCCCTCCCAGGCGCCAGGCAGACGGCCGGCAAATTGGCAAACACATTCCTCGCGAACGGACTGGCCGCCGGGGTGTCCCTTGTCCGGTGTGCCGCCCCGGCCGCGGCTGGCCGGCCGAAGGAAAAAAGAGGGTTCAGGCTGCCGCGGCCGGCCGCGCGACGCCCCCGGGGCCCCGGCCCCCCCCCCCCCCCCCCCGGTGTGGACTCTCCGGCCGGTCAGTGGGGCCGGGCGGCGCGGCACGGCGCGGCGGGCACATCCCCAATCCAGCCCGACAGCGAGGGGGAGACAGGGCCGGCCGGGCCCGGCCTTCCGCGCGGCGTAGGGCGTTGACCATCGCCAGGGTCAGGCCCCGGGGCCAGTGCCTGCGCCGCCGGCCGTCGCGCCCCGCACCGACAACAAGGCACCAGGTAGACGGGTCACCCGGGGGCGGCCGGACCGCCGGTTGAGCGGCGGACGGAGGGCGCTCGCCGGCGCCGGGCCCCGACGGCCTCGCCCGGCCGAGGAACCGCAGCGACTCCGGCCGCCGAGCGAGGAGGGGGGGGGGACACCGTCCGCACCCGGGGAGGAGCGGACGACGGACCGCTCGACGACCCGGCCCGGCAGGACGGCATTCCTGCGCGGGTGCCAGTCCGCCCCCCTCCTCCCCCCCGCCGGCCGCGCGCGCGCCCCTCGGACGTAGAATCGGCACAACAACGGCCGCACGGCAGTAGCCGCACAGGGCAGAGGGGGACGCAGGCCAGGCACGCCTTACGGTCCGGTCCCCCATTCCAGCCGAGGCCATTGTGCCCGGGGGGGGGGGGGGGGCGGCGCGGGGGGGCGGCGCGGGGGGAGACGCTCTGTCGACGGCCGCTTGGCGAGGAAGGAGCCCGGGGGGGGGGGCTGAGGGCAGGAGGGCGCGCCGACACACATGCCCGTGAGGAATGCACCAGCCGAATAGTCGGGCCAGCGCATTCCCCAGAAAATACCTCCCCTTGAGCCCGAGAAAAAAGGGCACCCCCTCCGTCTGTGTGCACAAACACGCGCACACACGCCCAGAGTGACGCGCACGGCGCGTCGGCGTCGGTGCCGGGGCCTGTGCCAGCGGGGGGGGGGGGGGGGTGATGCGCGCACTTCTTTCTTTGTACACCGGGGAAGCCGCGCCCGCCCGCGCTCGAGGGTCTAATCCGGCCATTTTATACGCCGCGCAATATATACACACTACTTACATGGCTTCCCCCCCCCCCCTCCGCCAGGTCCCTAAATGCCCCGGGGGTATGCCGGCTGGGCCCCTTCTCCCCGGCTAGGGGCTCTCCCTGTCCCCCCCGTTGGCCGCGGGGAGGCGGGCGGGGCGCCATCAGCCAGCGCCCCAACCCCTCCCGGTCCCCCGGCCTGTCGGTGCCGGACACCCGCGGCCAGGCCCGCGCGGCCCCTCCCCCCTCGTACCTGCTCCGTCCCGAGTCCCGGGGGGCGACAACGGCGCCGGACCGGGGGGGGGGGGGCATTCCGCGCGCATACGCGGAAAAAGGGGCTCTCCCTCCCGCAAGCAGCCTGCATTTAGGGTTGGTGCAGGCCCCGCCCCGCCCCCGGCGCCCTTCTCCTTCCCTTGCAGCAGGTGCGTCCCTGTGTCATGGCAAATGCCGAACGCGGCATTCTGGGCCAGGCGTGTGCGCTCACGCCCGCGCCTGGCCCAAGGGAGAGGGTGCACAGCAGCCCCGGCCGAAGTCTAGTCTTTTCCCCCCCCCCCCCCCCCCGCCTCGCTCCCGCCCCAGGGCGGCTGCGTGGCTGGGCGTCTGTCTCTGTCGCGCGGCGCCAGCGCAACGGCGGGGCGGAGTCGCCACCCCAGCCAGGCCCGAGACCGGGCCCCGGGGCTGTTTGGGCCGCGGCGGGCCGAGTGGCGCCGTGTCGGGCGGGCATCCCTTGTGCAATGGTCCTCACATGCGCGCGGCACCCTCGGCGGACAGGCCCCCCTGCCCCCGGGGCCCTTCTCGAAGGATCACACCGCCGCCCTGTCCGCGCCCCGGGCAAATGCACCACCTGGCGCGGTGTTGCCGTGCGGCTGCCGCCCCTGTGGCGGGTGCAGGGGCGCGCGTGCCCTGACGACTGTGCCTCCCCGTGGCTCTCTCCCGGAGCGGGGGGCGGGGGCGGGCAGGAAGGCCGCTGTCGGGCCATTCCCCCCCCCCCCTCCCCGCCCGCACGCGCGCCCGTCCTGGGCCACCGTAGTGGCGGTACCCGGTCCCCGGGTCCTGCCCCGGGCTCGGTCGCCGGCCGTACGGCGGGGCCGGTTCGGGAATTCGGCCACCGAGAGTCTCCCCCCCCCCCCCCCGCGGGCGGTCCGACGCCGGCCTGCAGACTGCCGCACGCGCCAGCAGCACCAGAATGCCCCAATTCCGCAGGGCCGCCCCGGCCCGCCGGACTCCCGCGCGGCGAGGGCCAGTTACCATTATTAACCGAACCGATGGGCAGCGTGGCCCATCACTCGGTGGCGCATCACGTGGCTGGTACCACCAGGGCGCCAGCTCGCCGGGCCGCGCCCTCATTCTCCTCCCGTGGGGGCCGCGAGTGCGGATCTCCCCCCCCCCTCCCCCCGCCTCCCCAGTGCGCGATGCACGCACGTACACGGGCCGCGTCCGGCAGATCAACAATCAAAGGCGGCACGCGGGCTTCGGAACAACAAGGTCATTTATTTACAGAAAGGAAGGGACGAGAGGGGACAACGGGAAACTGTATGTGTGTGTGTGTGTGTGTGCACGTACACACGCACATGTAGACGACGACGACATCATGCGTGTGTGGTTATGGGGGGGGAGGATTTCGGGAAACGCGCGGGGGAAGAGGAGGTCGGCGCCTCTGGGGGGCCTCGGTCTCGTCCTCTGTGGCCCCCCGCGCGCGCAGGGAGAGATCTGATGAGGAGCATGCCTTTCGCGCCACGGGCCTGACGCGGCTCACGCGCGCGCACACACTCTCGCGGCCTTCTCCCTCTCTCCCCCCTTCTCTTGCGTGCGCGCGCCCCGTCCCTCCCCGGAGGGAGGGGGGGGGGGACACCCCAAGAGAAAGAGAGGAGAGGAGAAGGGGGGAGGGGGAGGAAGCAACACAAACACACAAGCGCACACACGCACGCAAAGCACACCTGTGCGCCGCGCGCCCCCCCCGAGGGTCCGCCATGCATGCACACACGTGTGTGCATGCATGTGCGTGGAGGCGCGCGGAGGGTGGCACGCTCTCATGGCTCCCTCTCGCACATCGCGCGCCGCTCTCAGTGGGCGGTGGCCGGCTGGCGGCGGGCACCCGAGGAGATGGCGCTGCCACGAGCACCACCGGCGGTGTGCCCGCCCTCCTTGCCGGCACCACCGCGAGCCCCGCCACTGCCGAGGCCGCCGGACTTGGGGCCGGACTTGTTGCCGGGCTTGCCGCCGGCAGCGCCGCCGCGGGCACCCGCCGCGCCGGAGGTCGTGCTGTTCTGCGAGGACTCCAGCTCGTTGATGCGCTGCAGCAGGCCCTGGTTCTTGATCTCCTGGCCGCGGGTGATCTCGATCACCTGGGCGTTGGGGTTGCGCTGGCTCTGGCCCATGATGACGACGTTCTGTGTGTAGGGGGGTCAGCGGGGGGGGGGGGGGGGGGGGGAGCACATGTGTGGACGTGCGAGCGGCCGGGGAGGGGACGGAGTCAGGGGGAAGGTCATCGCGCAGGACAGTGTGTGTTAGAGAGAGAGAAGGAGGGGGCGCGCATGCACAAGTGGGCGAGGATGGCGCGGGGCCAGGGCTACCCCCCCGCCCCCGCCGCCGCCCTCTTGGCCGCCAGCACCACATCGCGCGACGCACGTTGGTGGAGTCGATCTTGGCATCGAGCGAGGCGTTGCGGATCATGTTGACGATCCAGCGCTCGGCGGCCTCCATGTCCAGATGCAGGTACTCGGCCAGCATCTTGTTGTCGATGCGCTTGTGGATCTGGGAGTAGGTCTCGAAGATGAAGAGGCGCGCGGCCTCGAAGAACTGGTCCCAGTAGGGGTTCAGGAAGTAGTCATTCTCGAAGACGGCCTTGCACTCGAGGATCTTGCCGCGAGCGCTGTCGAAGTCGAACTTGCGGTAGACGCAGCTGATCAGCTCCAGGATCGGGTCGGCATAGATGTGGGCCTCCTGGTTGAACATGGACATGAGGTTCAGCAGGGTCAGGCGGCGGCGGTGGAAGATGACCACCACCACGGCCAGGTACCGGAGCAGGTGCGGCGCGTGCAGCTGCAGCGCCTGGCGGAAGACCTCGGAGGTGGAGAACAGGTCGATCAGCGTGTCATCGATGACGGTCTCGATGGGGGTGTCGTCGGCGTCGTCGGCGTCCTCATCGGACGCCTCGTCCGCGGCGGCAGAGGCAGTCGGGCTGGTCTTCGGGGCGTTGAAGAAGACAAACAGCGACCAGTGGAGGAGCCACGCGCGCTGCTTGACCAGGGAGTACTCGTTGAGGAACTCCTGCGTGTCGTCGTGTGGGGGCGGCGGGTGAGTGGGGGTGGGGGCGCGGCATGGGCGTGTGTGTGTGGGTGGGTGTGTGTGCGCGCGCGCGGGGG